CACCTGGAAAATTTTTTTTTTTTTTTTTTTTTTTTTTATAGACACAGAGTTTCACTACATTTCCCAGGCTGGTCTTAAACTCCTGGGCTCAAGTCATCCTCCTGCCTCAGGCTCCCAAAGTGCTGGGATTACAGGCATGAGCTACTGTGTCCTGCCCAGTTATCTGATGTTGACCATAGCACGGCGGGGCTTTCTAAAAGTCCCCTTACCCCTGCACCCCTTAAACTTTAGATGGGTTCAGGCACTGATAGGCATTACGTTGTTTACACAGATTTCAGGGTCAGAAGGAAAAGGCTGCCTTTTATGAAAGCGAAGAGAAGGCACACGAAGAAAGCAGGTACTGGGAAGATGTTCAAGAAGAAACAAAGAGCCAAAAGCCGTAAACACAAAAGCCAAAGACACTCATGTCACCTGCATTCATCGATTCATTTTTGCACCCCTAGAAAAGTCCATGTGTGCTGTAAAGAAAGTTCTTTGCTCCATACCTTCCATATTTTGCAAATGACTTGTGGAAGATTCGGCCGGGTTGAGGGGAGAAGGAGCCATACTTTTCTTTTACAAGCAGACACTTTACCCTGTGGTCAGCAGGTGGGGGCAGAGGCTGGGGTGCTGCTGTCCCCGCCACTCACCGGGCGTCAGACCCACGCACGTGTGCACTCGATGGTCTTGACTCAGTGCCCACGAGTGCAGACCTGGGTGAAGAAAGAAGGAAGTCTGATTCCCTGCTGCCTTTTCAAAATGTCCTTGTTGCTTTTTCTCATTATCCCCTATTGCCAAAAAGTAAATTATAAAGTTAATTTTTAGCAGCAAAGCATGCACACGTTTTGGTCTTTGCTTTTTTGGCATAAATTTATCAGTAGATTCAGCATTCTGATTGTGAAGCCAAGTTTTCATAAGCATGCACATGTAGTTGTTTTTTGTTAAAGGAGAAAAATATTCTTATTCCTTTCTTAACACGCTGTGAGCTGCTATACTATGGCTGACACAGGGAGGAGCTTCTTCCCGAAAAGGATTCTTTCCTCCCATTTTGCAGCACGGAAGTCCACACTACAGCCACACTAGAACCTAGCAAACGTCTTAGGTTGTTGGTGTCAATGCAGAACCCCTTTAAAGAACAAAGGATGAGGACGCCACTAACATTTCCTCTTACTGCCTTCTGTGGCCACAGAGCCACTGAGCACTGTATTCAGGCACATCCTATAAACATGCCCCGAAGTGCAGAGCCTGAAGAGCTTTCCAAGAATTGTATTTGACTGTTTTGCCTTCCATGCACACACTGGAAGAAACAACAGGCTACTCCTTGATTTGGGCAAAGGCGCTGCCCTGGCCCTCGGGGAGCACCGCGCAGCTGGCAGGGTGGCCGGCTGTGGGCATTCCAGTTCATGCTCTTGTTTCTTTCCTGCCCAGCAGAATACGCCCAGGAAAGTCAAAACTGAGTCCTGTCTTATTTAAGACGTCTCCTTCCTCAGTGTTTGTGGTCATGGTATTGAAACAACGTTATTAATCCAACTTAATTCTTTGTTTTGTCTTTGCTTTT